CAAACCAGGAACAGAAGTTGATTCCTCCGCGGACTCCATGGGTAGCCAGACCTGGGCAGTTTTCTATCACGTGCTCTGGGCAGCGCCTCCAGCAGGTACCCCAGCAATGCCTCACCACAGGCGTGGGGATGCAGCAGTGGTGTTAAGGATTTTAGGGTATGTCTAGACTACATGGCTCCGTCGATGGAGCCACGTAAACTAGTTTACCCGACATAGTCAAGGAAGCAGGGTTTTAAATAATCCCTGCTTCATTAAAATAAAAATGGCCGCCGCGCTGTGCCAACAATCAGCCGATCCGGCACAGCGCGTGAAACAAGGTTTACAGAAGCAGTCGACAAAGGCGTTCCCTGTTGACCGACCGGCGCCACGATTGCCATGCTGTGCCGGCTCAGCTGATTGTAGGCACAGCGTGGAAGCCATTTTTATTTTAATGACATTGACTATGTCGGGTAAACTAGTTTACATGGCTCTGTCGATGGAGCCATGTAGTCTAGACACACCCTAAGATCATTAACACCACTGCTGCATCCCCACGCCCGTGGTGAGTACCCAGCCGCTCTAACTTCAGCGGCACAATTCACTGCACGCCAAGAGGTACGTGCCTGCTCTGCCTGCCCCCTGCACTTCCCCTAACGAGAGGCTCTGCCCAGAGGACAGCCATGGGATCCCTTTCAGTCGCTCCCTGCCCTATGCAGGGACTGAAGTGGGATACAGAATCTGTCCCTGTGTCTCACATTTACCATCCCCAATTCGCTGAACGTGACAGTGCAGATTTCATGCATTCCCATACGCCCCGGCAGTACTGCAGAGGACACACCTTGGGATGCCGAGGGACCAAGCGCACCAAGCACAGACCTGATACACGTGGCTGGATTTAATCACAGGCTAAACGGGGACATCATCTTGTGCCAGCTCAGTTCAGGCATCTCCACCTGATGGAGCCAAAGACCAGCCTGCCCATCACCCCAAAGAGAACCGTGCCCTGAGCCCTTCTGCCCGCGCAAGCGGCAGACAGGCTGGACAGAATGAGATGAATGCCTGCAAGGCAAGTTTTACGGTGGCCGGCTGCTCCAGAAGGCAGCCTGCTCTGGGACATACCACAGTTTGGCCCACGGAAAACCTCTCCTTCAGGCTCCATTGGTCCATTTACTGATATGATAAGTGAGAGTTAGTGCCAATCGCCCCAAAGAAAACACGCTGATTTGCTGCACTCAGTTTAAACCCCAAATAGAAGAGCAGGAACAGAAAAAGATCCTGACGCACAAGAAGGTGGGTGCGAAACATCTGGTGACGGGGAGACCCAGCCTGGTTTCTGGTCCCAGCCAACACCTGCACTTCCCAGCTCTACACCTGTGGTCAGCTCCCCCGCGGACTGAGTGAAGTTGTGTCCGTTTGCACTCGTCGAGGAGCCGGCTCTGGAGTTTTGCTCACCCTGTCCTAGGGCAGTAACAGAGGCCCCCTGGGGTGTGCACGCCACAGGATCGGCTAAGGAGAGAGCAGCCATCGGGCTGACTCAGCCGTGGTCCACACTACAAGTGTGTGTCACCACGGTATCGCTCAGGGGCATGGAAAATCCACCCCCTTGTGCAACACAGTTATACCCCCCTCCCCAACTCCTGCTGTAGACAGCGCTGTGTTGACCGGAGAGCTAAACCCATCGTAGCTACTGCCTCTCGGGAAGCAAGTAAGCTGGTACGCCCCGCTCCGCACGCTGACGGCCACTGTACAAGGGTAAGATTCCCATGCCAGTGCAGAGCACAGGCGGCATACCCCTCCCCTTGGGGCTTCCCTCACCCTCAGGCCCCTCCCCCCATGGCCTCCAGTCCCAGTGCCAGATGACCAGAGTCGGAGGGGAGGGGGAAAGGCCCCCAACAGGCTTGAACCAGCAGTAACAGCGCCCCCTGGCACCCACCCTGGGGATCGGATAATAGCCCAGTGGCCGCACTCCCAGCCCTGAGCCCCCCCGCACTTCCCCACCCTACTCCCTGCCCCGACTCCTGCCCTCACCTCCCTCCCCACACCCGAGCCCCCTGCGCTGAGCCCCCCACACCTCCCAAACCCCAGCCCTGAACCCCTCTCCTGGGGAGGGGTTGTGCTAACACTGTATCCATAAGAACTGTAAGTTACTTCCACCCTGCTTGGGAAGCTCTCCCTTTGGCGCCCGTAGTGTTGCACTAGTGTAAATAAGCCCTCACGGACAGACGTTGCTGCTCTGAGGCTATCTACACGACAGCTTCTCTCAGCATAAGCTGGGTCACCTGCAGAGTGCGGGAGAGGTGTGAATAAATGACTGACAGGCCGACAAGCACGGCACGGGAGAGCTTCTGCCACAGAGCTGCTGCCGCTCGCGAGGACTGGAGTAGTTCAGCCGAGCGAGAGCTCTCTCCCATCAGCCCACGCTATAGAGCTCACAGGGCGCAGCTGCACCATCCACCCATGTAAGCAGGTAAGTTCTAGCGTCACAGAGCACTGATCCTTGCAAGGGACTGCAGAGGAAAAGGTCACGCCCCAGAACGAGGAAGAATCATATAAACCACTAGCAGCCTCATTTAAAAAGGCTGCACTCAGGGGCCAAAGGTCCCTCCCCAAAGGCTCTTAAATCAAGTAAGTTGCCATGGGATAAGAGGGAAGGTCCTTTTGTGGATTGATAATTGGTTAAAAGACAGAAAACAAAAGGCAGGAATAAATGGTCAGTTTTCAGAACGGAGAGAGGCAATTACTGGGCTCCCCCAAGGGTCTGTCCTAGGACCAATCCTATTCAACTTATTTATAAATGATCTAGAGAAAGGGGTAAACAATGAGGTGGCAAAATTTGCAGATGATAACTATCTTGAGCAGTTTGGTAAGACTAAAGCTGACTGCAAAGAGTTTCAAAAAGTTCTCACCAAATTAAGTGACTGGGCAACAAAATGGCAAATGAAAGTTAATGTTGGTAAATGTAAGGTAATGAACATTGGAAAAAATAATCCCAACTATACATACAATGTGATGGGGACTAGTTTGGCTACAACTACTCAAGAGAAAGATCTTGGAGTCATTGTGGATAGTTCTCTGAAAACATCCACTCAACATGCAGCAGCAGTCAAAATGGCAAAAAGAACGTTAGGAATCATTAAAGAAGGGATAGAGAGTAAGACAGAAATATCTTACTGCCTCTCTATAAAACCATGGTACACCTACATCTTGAATACTGCGTACAGATTGGGAATGTTAAATATCGGTTAATTGAATAGTCGATTATCCTCACGAGTTCTTATCAGTTACCTGACTATTCTATAGTACCCCCGGTTGGGGCTGGCAGCCAGTGCCCCACTCCCGAGGAACCACCTATCACTCCGCACTGCTGCCTCTGTATCAGAGACAGCAGCATGGGGTGGAAGCAGCCCGTCTGGGGGGAAAAGGAGGCTGAGCTCCCAGATCTGGCGCGAGCTGGAACGGAGCAGGGCTGTCTGCCTGCCTCTTAATACACTTTAAATGCAGAGCCACAGCAGAGGAGAGTCCTGGACCCTGCACGAGCCAGGACTGAGCCAGGCTGCTGGCCAGCTTGCTAAAAAAATTACTGGGGGGGGGGGGAGGAGGAGGGATGCGTGTAGTCTATAGCATTAACCTATAAGCTTTTGCTTATCGGTTAGTCGACTGCACTATTACATCCCTAGTACAGATGTTGCCTCATTTCAAAAGAGATATACTGGCATTAGAAAGGGTTCAGAAAAGGGCAACAAAAATGATCAGGGGTTTGGAATGGGTCCCATGTGAAGAGAAATTAAAAAGACTTGGATTTTTCAGCTTAGAACAGAGAAGACTAAGGGGGGAGATGATAGAGGTCTATAAAATCATGAGTGGCGTGGAGAAAGTGAATAAGGAAAAGTGATTTACTTGTTCCCATAACATAAGAACTAGGGGCCACCAAATGAAATGAATGGGCAGCAGGTTTAAAACAAACAAAAGGAAGTTCTTCTTCGCACAGCACACTGTCAACCTGTGGAACTCCTTGCTTGAGGATGTTGTGAAGGCTAGGACTTTAACAGGGTGCAAAAAAGAGCTAGATTGATTCATGGAGGTTAAGTCCATTAATGGCTATTAGCTAGTATGGGTAGGAATGGTGTCCCTAGCCTCCATTTGTCTGCAAATGGGTGACAGGAAAGGGATCATATGAGGATTACCTGCTGTGTTCCCTCCCTCTGGGGCATCTGGTATTGGCCACTGTCGGCAGACAGGATACTGGGCTGGATGGACCTTGGGTCTGACCCAGTATGGCCGCTTTTATGTTTTTAAAGCATGAGTATTCCTGCAGCATCCGGGGCTGTTATTCTGCTTGTGTTTCTATAGCATCCATCGCCATGGCAGCCCAGAGGGGGCGGGCAGTTGGCAAACAGCCCCAAGGAAGCAGAATAGTCTACCCCAGCCAGGCCTTATTGTCAAGCCCAGGCCCAGCAGCCAAGAGACCTGACCGAGAACAGCAGAGCAGATACCAGGCATTGCATCGGGCCACACTGACCTCAAACACCTTCTCACCCACAGGGAAACGGTCACTGACCACAGCACAAGCAAGCGGCTCCACTCAAGACAACAAAAGGCATCTGAATTCTGCTCCGTCTACCCCAGCCAGGCCTTATTGTCAAGCCCAGGCCCAGCAGCCAAGAGACCTGACCGAGAACAGCAGAGCAGATACCAGGCATTGCATCGGGCCACACTGACCTCAAACACCTTCTCACCCACAGGGAAACGGTCACTGACCACAGCACAAGCAAGCGGCTCCACTCAAGACAACAAAAGGCATCTGAATTCTGCTCCTTTAAAAAGGCAGCTGTGTTCACGCCACACTCAGCACCCGGCCATCTATTCTGAGCAGCTGCATTCCAGCAGCCCCAGCAAGATTTTCCATCCATGGCAGCAGGCTCTCCTTCGTTCTGGCAGGATCAGCCCCGGCCAGGGAGGAGAGACACTGATGAGGGAAGGAAACTAAGCAGCACAGAGAAGTGGAATTAAATAGAACTTACCCTCCTCAATGACGACTTTGATGAGGCGGATCGAGCCATTCCGGGCCTTAGCAAAAAAGTCCTTTAACTCCGTGGTGGCTAGAAGAACCAGAAACATAGTGATCAGACTTAGGAGACAAACCAAATGTTATTCTGCTCTTCAAACCAAGTAAGGTGTGTGTGTGGGGTGGGATGGTGGGGGGGAGGAGGAACAAGAACTAAATAGGAGAGAGAGTAAAAAATCCCAGAGGGTAAAAATGGACAAAAAAAAAATCAGAAGCAGCTGATTTCACTTGCTGTGTGATCTACGCTACCAGGGCTACCAAGTCCTGTCTCTCAGAGGTTTCAGAGTTAAATACTGCCTAGGAACACATGTGATCCAGAGAACTTGATCCTTGCATCGGGTGAACATAATCGCCCAAATTTAGATGATGGTTTGGCTGGGGTGGGAGGGAGGCCAGGCTCAAATGTCAGTTTATCAAATGTGCAGCCTATCCCGGTGTGCATGTCAGGCCAGGAAGGCGGGCGGCTGGAAGGTGTGATGATGGGCAGAGGCAGCTCTGTTGTGATCACACACTTGCCTTGGTTACGTTGGGCTTTGGATCCTGTCTGCCGAAGAGCATGACCTCCAGCGGGAAGGCTGCATAACACAGAAGCTGCCAGAAGTGTATAGGAATCGGAACTGTACCCGCTTTGCATTTCACTCTGCTTGTCCCACTGTAACCCCTCTAGGAAGAACTGTGATAAACCTGGGCAATTAAGGCCTCAGGTTCTGTTTGTGTGTTAGCAACAACTGCTGCATCACCTAGCAGGACTCCCCCAGGGCCTGAGTTGCTTTGGTTGGAAAAGACTGATGCAAGCTGGTTTCAAACACAATTCCTAGCATGCCTTCCGCACTTCCCACCAGCGCAGTTCCAGGTGACTGCGGATATGACGCTAGCAGGATACCCCACTCGCTCACACCCCAGAGGATCCCCTAGCACTGGAATAATGGATGCTCTCATATACAAAGGAACCTCCCTGGCCCAGGCCTCACTGAGAGGAAGCCACCTCTGAGTTTAACTCACCAGCTGTTTAGCAGCATCCAGCAACACTGTACAACAGCTTAGGGCAGGAAATGGAAAAGAGTCCCTGCCCAGAGTTGATCAGAACAAGAATTAGGCTAGGAATCCGGGACTGGCATCTCTATTCTGCCTTGGGGTGTAAATAAAACTGAGCTCTCGGAATGTCAGTCGTACACCTAGCCTGCAAGACAGAGTCTCCAGCAGACAGCAAGCAGCCCAGAGTTTCCTGCTGGCCTTTGAAACACTGCGTGTTGGTTACCAGGTAAAGAACCCACCGTAGTCAGAGAGGGGAAGACTGAGTTAGAACAGGAAGCGCAAGATACAGCGGTAACATGGCCACTATTACATCACTACCTCCTGTGGCCAGTCACTCTGGCTGCTCCGTGGACAGGTCAGACATGCCATGTGGGTAGTCAGGATCAAAGGGCACATCAATACTGCCCAACACACCACACACTGGGGCACGGAGTCTCTGAGCCTAGGTCAAGGGACTGGCTGGGGCCACACCCCCACCCACCCCCCTGCACCATGTTTCAGAGCCCTGGCTCCAGCCCCAGCGGAAACATCGACTCTGCTATTTTTATCCCCATACGCCTGAATCAGTTGACCTAGACTGACACTTGCGGCCGCGGTGCGTTCCGGGGGGTTCGCAGTGTAGACATACTCTAAGGAGCCTAACCAAGTATTACTACAAGCCTAGAGTTTGCAACTTTTCCTTGCCCCTTCCTCAGTCTAGTCCCAGTCATTCCACCAACTCGGACTGCCCATTATATTTGCATATAGAACATAAGAACGGCCATCCCGGGTCAGACCAAAGGTCCATCCCCCCCAGTACCCTGTCTGCCCACAGTGGCCAATACCAGGTGCCCCAGAGGAAGGGAACCAAACAAGTAATGATCAAGCGATCTCTCCTGCCATCTATCACCACGCTCTGACAAACAGAGGCTAGGGACACCATTCCTTACCCACACTGGCTAATAGCCATTAATGGACTTAACCTCCATGAATCTATCTAGTTCTTTTTTGCACCCTATTAAAGGCCTAGCCTTCACAACCTCCTCAGGCAAGGAGTTCCACAGATTGACTGTGCGCTGTGTGAAGAAGAACTTCCTTTTGTTTGTTTTAAACCTGTTGCCCATTCATTTCATTTGGTGGCCCCTAGTTCTTATATTATGGGAACAAGTAAATCACTTTTCCTTATTCACTTTCTCCACACCACTCATGATTTTATAGACCTCTATCATATCCCCCCTTAGTCTCCTCTTTTCCAAGATGAGAAGTCCTAGTCTCTTTAATCTCTCTTCACATGGGACCCGTTTCAAATCCCTAATCATTTTAGATGCCCTTTTCTGAACTTTTTCTAATGCCAGTATATCTTTTTTTAGATGAGGAGACCACATCTGTATGCAGTATTCAAAATGTGGGCATACCATGGATTTAAATAGGGGCAATAAGATATTCTCCATCTTATTCTCTAGCCCTTTTTTAATTATTCCTACATCCTGTTTGCTTTTATGACTGCCGCTGCACACTGCGTGGATGTTTTCAGAGACCTACCCACGATGACTCCAAGATCTCTTTCTTGCTTAGTTGTAGCTAAATTAGCCCCCATCAAACCGAACAATGTCTTAAAGCTGCAGCCAAATGGAGCCGTAGGTTGGCTCAATGGGATTTTTAATCCTTAGTGTCAATGGACAATCCCAGTTACAGTTTGGCCCATTCAGTTTGGCTGGAGGAGCAGGAAGGAAGAAGGTCACTTAAGTTCACGTGATATTGAGTTTTCCAGATTTCTGTTCCAGTTGAGGTTTCATTTGTCACCCATCCTGGGAAGCACCTCCAAGGCTTATACCCGTCTGCATTAGTGGGACCCGTGCCAAGCCTGATCCCTCTGCTTTGCCCAGCTCTCTCTCAGCCCAGGGTCACAACTGCAGAGGCAGTAACCTCGGAGGCACTTTTTAAAACTTGAGCGACATGCCAACGGGCCGCCTGCCACGTCGGGTGCAACACCCCTCAGTGTTTCCAGGCTCGTCTGAGGGTGCCGAGTCACGGGGACAGGCCTCAAAGGAACAGAGGGATATTTTGGAGGAGGGCGGGAGGTGAAAGGAAATCCCATCACTGGTCCAAGCCCCACTGCCCTAACTGCCACCTGGTTTCCCCTGTTTCACTGAGCATGCCAGCCAGATGGTCACAAATCCAGCCCTGTATTTTACAGCATGGGTCCAGACTGCTCGATTATGATGGGCTCGCATGCACTTGCCCTCCACGCTTCAAGGCACAAGGAACTCCCTCAAATGAAATCTTCAGCAGCAACAAGAGGGGTTCTAGCTGGGGAGGATTGTTTCCCCTCTCGGGGACGTGCACAGCTCTCTGGAGATGACCCTTCAGCCGCGTCTCTCAGGTATTCCCAGCAATATCGCAAAGAGCCTTTCATTTCTCTCTCCTGCCCTTCCTGACTGAAGATGTGCCCCTCACCTTTGTTCTGAGATACATCCTGGCCCTTGCCACGGGCAGCCCTTTCACGGAGCCCAGTCAGTGTCTATATTACTCAGATGCATCCTGTTCGGTGAGCTGGATGCTGTTCACAAACACACTTCTAAGCATTGCCTTGGCAACCAGCCTAGAACACCCCCATGCTGTGAGTGTTCATCATCTGACTCTTCACCAGTCTGCTGTGCTGGGAAAGTTCCATTTTGTACCTCTGGAACTGCCTCTGATTTTGACTAGCAAGTTCCCCCCTCCCGGCTTGCCTGGGTCACCTTGCATGGGCTCATTACAAACCTCCTGGCTCATGGCAGGTTTTAATCAGACTGTCACAAAGGGCCTGGCAAAGGATCTGCACAGGTGGCCAAAAAATGCTTCAATAGCCACGGGGAAGCAGCATTGCGCAACCTCCCTGGCTAGCAAAGAGCTGCCCTAAAGGCTCCTGGAGCCAGCCCTCAGCATGACCAGTTCCACATCACCGAGGGCCAATTCTGTTCCCCTAGTTTAGTCCTATGATGCAAACTGGAACATCAGACACCTGGCTGTCACTGTGGATACCATGCTGCACAAGTGAATCCTTCCTAGGCAGAGAGCCCATCTCCCTACCTCCTTGCACTGAAACAATCTGGAGAAAGCAGGGGATGCGGACAGCGCAGGAAGAGAGACAATAACGGCTCCCCTGGGAGCCCGCTATGCTTG